TAATGATAATAATTGCGCAACTCCTCAAAACCTGGACCACGGAATCTGTTTTATACACGTCCAGTTTGCAGGATTTTGATTCGGCGACCCTTCGTTAAGCGGGAAGTCCGTCGTACTATCTGAACCGGCGCATAGAGTTCAATTTTCCCGAATTGTACAGACTTTCGAAACCCAGCGCGTACGTGACTTTCACGTTGCTTGTTAGGAAATAAAAAGTTCGTACGGTAAATGCACCGACACGAGAGACCATTGGAGAATTTGAACGCAGCCGAAGCAAGAAGAGGTACGAGGCGGTAGCGGAGGAAACAAAGATACACATTGAAGAGAAGCAGAAAAAGAGAGGAGGAAGAGTATGTTGTACACTTTCGCAACAAGAAACTATAAGAAGAATAAAAATCGCTTTGGTAACGCTTTATATCGGGGAAGGGAAATGATAAACGTTTACGTCCACACGTTTTTGTTAAGGAAACATCTTCTGTGAAAATTAAGCGCTTGTAGATGAGGGAAGGCATGTGTGACGAACCCGAGATACCGAGTGTAGAACTAAGCCAACCGTCGTGCCGCTTTAAGAGCACGACAAACACTCGCATACACTCTCTGGTTTGCCGTCCCACAAGCGAAATAACATCGCGTATTTCGGACGCAGCACAATGCGCACCACATTTACTATGCGACGTCTCTTTGCTACCTGTGCATCCATAATTAGTTAAGTTTATCTCCTCGGGCTCCCGCTTGGCTATTAGTTTGACCGTCTTCAACGGAGGGAAAGCCGAGGTTCCGCTGGCTGTAATATTTTGTCTCCTGGCTTCCAGCGAGTCCTCCTTCCTTCCTTTCGCCGATTAGAACGCGCCGATTGCCAGCCCAGGATCATTAATTTAATAGTGCCGCAGCGAGATTCCAATATCGGCCAGGGGGCCTCTAATCGACCTGGGAATATTTGCGCCGCCCTCCTCCCCCACTAGCGTTCCACTAGAATTCCGGTACAACGTCAGACGTGCCGTCACAGTTTAGATTATGACGACGAATATGTCGAAATTGAATTAGGAACGCCAAGTCCAATATCGGGATACCCGTGTCACGCAACAGAGACCAATAAATATTATCTGATACGTGATATGATTCGCACAAGTGGCATGCGGTAATCAACCATATACCTATACATTCACGTGTGAATGTGGTTGTTGCAATATATTGCGTGTGTAACTATGATAAGGGAATATAGTGCGAATAATGTACTGTTGGAGAGTAAGATTTCCTGAAGATAAGCGGAAGCGTCTGAAATCCTCTGCGTGAAATCCTTAATTTATTAAGCTTCTGAAATGCGCTAAATATCGACATATTTATATATTCGAGACATTTGAAATTTTACTACAATCATGGAAAAAAATCTACTAATTTGATCCTTCCATGATTAAACAATTATTTTATAATTAAATTTGTAAAATTTTTAAATTTGTAAATTTTTATAATTAAATTTAAATTTGTAGTTAGAGTTATTAGAATATCACGAGAAATACGTTCGATCGAATATCGAGAAATTGGAACACGCCGGAAATAAAGTTCGCTATTGCTAATATCATTTCTGCTTAATGCGCAGTTGCAAATGTCGAAAGTAGAACACTCTTAGTCCTTCCTTGATGCATTTATAATATTATCCTTTTCTCCTACCTCTAATCACAAAAGCGCCACGCGACAGCGTTAAAGTCGCAAAACTATTTGGCTATCTTCCGAGAGTTTTTATCGCTGAATTAACTATTTTGCATTGTTTGCTTTCGCGCCTTTCAAGGATCTTTGGTTTACTTGTGTGGATTTTTGGCACACGCATTGGGGACTTTTGTTTATTTCGTTAGCATTATCCTACTTTCTTACTCCGATTTAGCTCGGTAATATCTCCGGCAAGGCTAAACGTAAAGTGGGTCGTCGGATTAAAATCCGTCCACTCGCCAAATTTCTCATAAATAAATTAAACGAATATTGCGCGCGACGCTGACCGGATTGTTGCAGCGCCAAGTAGAGCGGCCCAAGTTTTTATAAACTTCTAATCTTTTTACGTATTTCACTTAACGAGAAATTTACGGTTTAAGTATTCAATATATAGTATAATACTTCACTTTATTATAGTAGAATACTTCAAAGAATCGTCGATGTTTATTTAATAGTGGATTCTTTAATCAACAGTTTCTTTCTTAACAAAATGTCTAAGGAGCTCATCACTTACTTGCAACTTTTTTAATTTTTGTATCATAGAATTTTATATTCTCTCTATCTATAAGTCTTAAAATTTTATTAATGTAAATTTTATTTAATTGAAATTAATTGAACAATCGATTCTAAAAGTTAGTTAGTTGATTTTGGAACGTTTTGTACTATATTTACACCTTTATATATACGCGTGCTTAATTACGTTTAATTAAATCTTAACCGAGTGTATTTAATTTAAGTTAATTTTGGTGCATTGCGCATTCCACTTTTACAAACTAATCCGAAAAATTGTTTATCATTTATGATTCTTAAAATTATTGCGATCATAAATTCAATACTATAATGCAAAAATTATGGGAAAAATATATGACTTTCTTTCTTAAATAAAATGAAAAGATATAGTTTTCAATATCATATAGCAACATATTTCTTTCTTTACATTTATAACTGAACATATTTTACACAAAGGACAAATTATTTCGACGGAACTTTCACAGTAAAGCATTACACAAAACTTAAGAAATACAGAACAACAAAAATACAGAACAACATAAAGCAAAAGCAAAAGCTTGTTGTGGAAAAGTTTTTATTGGAAAATTTAAACAGAATTTGTCAAAAAAAATTATTTTTAACATAAATATTAATAGTAATGTAAAGTATTATTTAGTATTATTTATAAGTATTATTATAAGTATAATAATATAAAAAGTTGTTGTAATAAAATTATTACTAATATAACATTAAAGTAAAAAGCATCACATTACACAATAATATTGCCGTAACAATTCTGTTTGCAAATAAAATTAATACATAATTGAAATAACTTACAAACTGATTTTATTTTAAAGTAAATATGGAGTTAAAAAATTATATTTAGTTTTACATTTAATTATGTTTAATTTTATAAATAAATGATCCTAACAAACAATCCTAAAAATATTGTATGGAGATATAAATTACGCGAAAATGATATTG